ACAGAACATGATAAAACAGGACATGATGAAACATAACATGACAAAACAGAACATGATAAAACAGGACATGATGAAACAGAAAAAGGATAAAACAGGACATGATGAAACAGAACATTATCAAACAGGACATAATGAAACAGAAAATGCTAAAACAGAATAGGATAAAACAGGAAATGATGAAACAGAACATGATAAAACAGGACATGATGAAACATAACATGACAAAACAGAACATGATAAAACAGGACATGATGAAACAGAAAAATGATAAAACAGAGCATGATAAAACAGAACATTATAAAACAGGACATAATGAAACAGAACATGACAAAACAGAACATGATAAAACAGAAAAATGATAAAACATAACATGATAAATCAGAAAAATGATAAAACAGAACATGATAAAACAGGACATAATGAAACAGAACATGACAAAACAGAACATGACAAAACAGAAAAATGATAAAACATAACATAATAAAATAGGACATGATAAAACAGAACATTATAAAACAGGACATAATGAAACAGAACATGACAAAACAGAACATGATAAAACAGAAAAATGATAAAACATAACATGATAAAACAGGACAGGATAAAACAGAAAATTGATAAAACAGAACATGATAAAACAGGACATGATGAAACAGAACATTATAAAACAGGACATAATGAAACAGAACATGACAAAACAGAACATGACAAAACAGAAAAATGATAAAACATAACATGATAAAACAGGACATGATAAAACAGAAAAATGATAAAACAAAACATGATAAAACAGGACATGATGAAACAGAACATTATAAAACAGGACATGATGAAACAGAACATGATAAAACAGGGCATGATGAAACATAACATGACAAAACAGAACATGATAAAACATAACATGATAAAACATAAAAATGATAAAACAGAACATGATAAAACAGGAGATGATGAAACAGAACATGATAAAACAGAACATTATAAAACAGGACATGATGAAACATAACATGACAAAACAGACCATGATAAAACAGAAAACGATAAAACAGAACATGATGAAACAGGAGCTGATGAAACAGAACAGGACGAAAAAGAACATGATAAAACAGATTATGATAAAACAAATATGATAAAACAGAACATGATAAACATAACATGACAAAAAATATCATGCTCAATTTTCAAAGTTCCAGCGGGGAAAAAAGCAATTAAAAAAAAAAAGCAATAGAAACGAAAGGAAATCGAGGACCACTGATGATAAGTATATTAATCCAAAGAATTTATTTCCCCCCATGACCTGATTTGTGATTTGTAACAGTTTTTTTATGTCACCGCTCTGTTATTTTCATAGGATTTTTTTTTTTTGGTCACTGGTATGTTTTTCCCCAAGGCTTTTCCCCAAGGTTCTGTTGTTTTTTTTAAATTTATATTGTTTTATCATGGAACTCTCTCAGAACAAATAGATCTTTTAATTTGAAAAGATATCCAAACGTAGCCGTTCTTGGCATGTGTGAACTTGATTTTTGCGTCACTGCTCCTGGCAGCCGACACCGACACTGGCGTAGGAAAAGAAATGGAGGGGGGAAAAGGGGGGTTTGGGGCGAGGGGAATTCGCCTTTGGGCGACACTTTTAGCGGGGGGGGATATTTTCGGTCCCCTTCATATACTTTCAAAAGCGTTCGCTGTATGCATTGTTTCGCTTTGAAACAGGAGGTGACAAAGTCAATGACCGTCCCCGGGCGACTCGAACCCCTGCTTATCCAGTGGCAAGCAATGATGATTTTTTTAAAAGATGTTTGACGTCGAAGACACTTGAATTTTATCCTCGCTCTAACAAATTAACGTTTTCCACATGCCCATGTCAAAAATTTTATTTTCATGGCTGTAAAGGCTAAAAAATTTTTTTTTAAAAAGAACACGATGACAAATAACAGTGACGGATCCAGGGGAGAGCACCAGAGTACAGTCTTCTGCAAGAATCATAAAGAGATACGCACACACAACGCAAACATAAACGTGTGTAAAATAGAGGTTAGTGTTCTTACAAGCATCGTTGCGTTTCAGATCACCCTACAACTCACCACCTAAATTGTAAATCAGTTCATTTTCCGCGGATGAAAGGGCTGTCCTTATCCCCCCCCCCCCCACTAATTCTGGTATAATTCCTGATCTTCTTCGATGTAAGGGAGATTACCGGTTAAAAAAACATCAGTACAGTTTTTAGTCTCGAAGGGAGAGCATCGCGTGCTGGGACTATTCGCAACGTGTTTCCAGTGATTAATGCTCCATCATTTGTATAGCCTTTTCATTTCACCTTTTCTAGACGAAGAAATCGTGTGTGTTTCTAATCATACCAATGATATATTATATTTTTTTTAAAATAGATAAATAAATGTGAACAATGGCTGTGGCAATGCGTGATCTTCCCACCCACCGTACTAAAGTTCCTTGACAAAACTTGCATTCAAGTAACGTACTTAATGTTAATTCTACCGCCTACATTTTCTCACGCCCCTGACCTATATCAATATTTTTAACGAAGTGGCCATTCGGACCCGGGTCCGAGAAGTTAGAGGTTGGGACAGTGGCTCTTTACCTTTTTGGAGGTATTGAACCCCACCAGTTTCATAAGCGCATTCACCGAACCCTTCTTAATAAGAAAAATTAAATATGATTTTTTTTTTGGACCTCCCCTAACCCCTAAGATTGAATCACCGAACACCTGGGGTTCGATCGAACCCAGGTTAAGAACCACTGGGTTGGGATTAAAATTTAAAAAAAAAATCATATTTTTGTTAGGTTGTAAGACAAACGGACCCGGGTCCGAATAGCGGCGATGCGTTTCCGGTTCCATTTTGACTCAGTGCTGTTCGGATGTTACTTGTGGTAGTTTATTTTAGTTAAACTGAAGAATTAAGTTTAAAAACATATAGTTTATTCAATTATCTTTCATTTGATACCTCATTTTGTCTTACAAAATCAAAAATAAAATTTTAAATAGTCTTTTAATCCCAACCTCTCACTTCTGGTACCTGGGTATGAATAGTCGCAGTCTATTTTAATGCCCCAACCACTTTTTCCCCGGAATTTCTAACAAATTTTATTAAATTGAAACTATTTCCGGAAAACAAAAGAAAATATTTGCACCAAAACCACTTGGAGTGGACTGTCTTTAAGAAGCTCATTTGGCGCAGTTATCGGGAATTTAATTTTGCGCGCTATTGAACTCACCATTACACCATACATACAAGATAATTACGGTATGTTTATTGATGACGTAATTTTGGTCCATTTTATTGACGAATTATCACTTGTATGAAATTAAAATGAAACTCATTGCGGTAAACATTGCCTGTAGGCCTAATGCTCAATTCGCACGATCAAATTCTCGTCACATTTCTTTTTGAACGCACTATTTAGTAAAACAAACATGTGCGTTCAGAAAGAAATTTTGACAGCAAATTTAAAGCAAGTTTGACGAAAATTTGAAGTAAATTTGAGAAAAATTTGATCGTAAAGATAAAGATAGCATTATTTAAAAGTAAAAGTAAAACTAACCGAAACTCTGTAACAGAAAAAAATTCAAAAACATTGTAAGTGAAATGTAATTGCAATCCAGCTCTATAACTCCGCTAGATTAAGTTGTAGAGGAAATTATGCTTATCCCTCTGGTTCCCTTTCCTTGATCCGCGGACCCCTAAGTGCTTCACCGGCACTTCTCAGGGGCTGTGCGGCCGCTCCAGGAAACAAAATAACATAGTAAATGGTCAAACTTAGTGTTGGTCTGCACGGATTTACCCTATTAAAAATTTAGCCCTTAAAAAATTGTTCCGTGAAGAAAACAAAATGGTTGAGGACCACTGCTCAAGGATGTCTGAAACTTTAGGAAACGTGGGCCAAAATTAGTCCAACCACCGAGTAGTATCATCAACTTCTTATTATTATTACAACTTATTATTATTATTATTACAAGATAAACTTCCATTCACCCTCTCCTACCATCTTATTATTGTTACAAGATAACCTTCCACCCATCCATACTCTTTATTAGCTTGATCAGGGCGAATTCTTTCTCTTAAAGTTAGGACCGAAAGATACAAAAATTATTTTGTTCCTGTGTCTGCACGAATTAACCAGTTACATAAATGGATAAAGGAAAGAATATCATCTAATCTATTCCACACAAAAATAAAATATAAAGACGGTGTTGAAGTAAGGAAAACAAACATTCGGGGTTTAAGATTCCGAAAATAATTTGCTTATTTTCATTTATAAATAAATTTGGGTAAAAAAAATATTTTTTTTAATAAACCCATTTAAAAAAATACAGGCTCTCTGGAGATGCCGGGGATCGAACCCGGGGCCTCTCACATGCGAAGCGAGCGCTCTACCACTGAGCTACATCCCCAGCCGATATAATTACAATTAACAAAGTACTTTACCTAATTATAATTGACATTCTTACAATTTCTAATTATTTTTTTTTACTTAAATGGAAAATTCACATAAAAATATAGCAATGACTATAACTGCAATAAAATATTCACTTTGCAATCGTCAATTTAATTCCTTAATGTTGAGTATTTCGGTGTTTATTGATTCTAAAATACAAACTAAGAATGACTTCAACGATCTCTCATTCTCTGCCCTTGGCCTTGGCCTAACTCTGAAGTTATTCGTCCTATTTAAATTTTATGCAAAATATTAATCCGTTAACAATCGTCCCAGACGAATAGATTATAACTAAAATTATGCGTAGCATCATAATCCAAAAACGTGAAAGTCTTTTATACGCAAATTTAATTCTTATTTCTCTTAACTTAAGGTAAATAATTATTAAAAATAAAAGTTGAAACTTTTGACATTAATCCTTTTTTTCCCCCCTAGTATTTAGTCATAAAACTTCACACTTCTCTGGACAACACTCTTCAACATAACAAGATCATAATTATCATTCAATATACTGGTTCATTGATATAAACAACACTAAGTTGTTTGCAGTGATGTTTCATTAATGACTTTTTTTACCTTTAAGACTTTACTGTCCCTTCGATGTTACTGAATTTATATATAAATTGTATAAATATTTAAATAATAGCAGTATAATGACTTCTTCACCAGGTAGGATTCTTTTCTCTAAATTTTTACTAGGCCGGCATTAAACTTTCATTAAAGTAATTTAAGTTATTAATTTATTAATTTCACCACGCCAAGATTCAAGATTAAACTAAACTTAGTAGGCTCAAGTCTAAGTCGACCAAGTTCACTTACTCAGTCTTAGTAAAACTGAGACTAAGTTGGTAAATATAAGTTTAGTAAATAAGGGCCCAAGTAAACTTATCCGGTAAGGCAAGGGTCTCAAACTCAAATCATCCGGGAGCTTAACGGACTTAACGGGGTAGAGTCTGGGTGAGACTGGGCAGCATCAAGTCAAGTAGGAGTAGGCTATACCAGGAAAAAAGCGATCGTACAACTATTACTGTTACAATCTGCTCAACCTTTATTAATAACAAATAAAGACATTAAGGGTTCTAAAGAACTAGGTTTCACTTTCTTCCCCCTCATTAAGAAATTATTTTTTTCTACAGGTTCTGCAAAAGAAGAAAACCACCTGATTGATGTGGCTACTCACACATTCATAATTCCTGAGAAGAAAATAAAACTCCCTAATGACATTCCCACCTGGGAAAAATCACAGGTAATTTTTGAATTAAGTCTGATATTATTTTCTTGACATTGACATGTTACGTTTATTATTTTTGCTTTTTCGTCGTAACTAAAATATTTAGTGTAAAGAATTTTTTAATATTAACCAATTTAAGAGATTTACTCAGTGCTCATAAATTTGAAATGTTTAGTTAACTAAAAATGTTATTGAACATAATTTTCAATACTATTTTTTTCACAAATCATTATTGATGTCCATCAGGAATTGTATTCAGTTAATTTAGTCTTTGGTACATAGCCATACATAAAACGCAAGTTTGTCACTTATTTATGATGTCTAAGAATTTTAATTAAAAATGTTTTTCTGATTGGAAAAAAGGAGATTAATAGTACATTAATATCTATTTTATCTGACATATGCTATAGGCATATTCAGATTTGCTAGGATTTCTTCTGGCTCTGAATGAGGCTGTCAAAAATAAGAAAGTTTCAGACAAATATCATGTGTCACAGGTCAGTGTCTTTAATCCATGCATTAATTATTCATAGTATTTATTTATCAAGTTTTCAATTATCGACGTGTCCCATTTTGTTGTTAATTACTTTGTTTTTAAGTAAACAGGTAGGTACTTCTGATGGGGTTATGTTTTCTTTTTTTTTTTTTTTAAATAATGGAAGAAGTTTTTTTTCCTTCCCCAGCTTGTAGAAAAAGTGATTGTGTTATTGGATCAGTTGGATGTCTGGATTGATGAGATCCCACCGATTGAACAGCCACAGCGTTTTGGAAACAAAGCTTTTAGAACTTGGTTTAATAAACTCAAGGAGGTATAAAGTTTAGGGTGGAAAAAAAAATATGCCTTTAAAATTATTTTGAAAACCATTATAAAGTGATATAATATGAATAAATAATCAATTATTTAGTTATATTATATTAAGATTCATGAAGCTTTTGCTGAATAATAATATTAAAGGATTGTTTTCTCCTCTTTACACCCACACGTTTGATAACAATTTTTTAAGAAACAAGATAATTTGTCATTCTTAACATTATTCATTTATAGTTAGAACCTTACATTAATGACAATAGTTGCTGCGAAGGTACATGTTTGGGCTAACTTATTAACATTTAAACTCATAGAAAGCTTCTTTTGAGTCAAGATATTTCTTCAAAATCAATTCTACTTATTAAAATGCGGTTTCCTATTTTGTCAAAATGTTGTTTGGTTTTTTTTTCTTTTTGGATCCAGGAAGGACAAACTCTAATAAAACAGACCTTACCATCAGAATATGAGCCAGCCATACCAGAAATATTTACTTACCTTATAGAAAGTGTTGGCAATGACACACGTATTGATTATGGCACAGGTACTGTTATATCCAAAAAGAATATAATTGCACAGTTAGTACTAGTTGTTTTTTTTCCTTTATAAGCAACTAGACGTTTTAATTACGAGCAAAGCAAATTTTTTTTTTTTTAAAATTATAAATGATATAAAATGATAAAGTAAGTGATTTAACTCTCATTTGAGAGATAAGCCCATGGTTTAGATGTGGTGTAATTTGTAAAGCTTGACCCACAGCTATGGATTTAGTCATATATGGTAGACCCTTTGGATATAATATTGTAGAAGATATGGATATAATATAGTAGACCAGATAAAATCTAATATGTTAGACAAGATGGGTTTCATACGGTAACTGGGTAGTCTTATACCTACATGGATTCACATAACACCAAGGGAGTGTTGGAGGCAGTGCCAGGATTGCAAAAGTACAAATAAAATGGGGTTTAAAAAAAGGGGTGGGGGGAAGCAAGTTTATTTGGATTTAATTAGCAGTAGCATATGTTTAAAACTTACTGGTAGAGCCAAGAGCACCCTTTTCAGTTTTAAATACAAATAAGGATTTTAGGATTTGTATTCATAAACATCCCTAAGCTGTACCAGTAATAATAATATGTCATAATAAGCTGTAGTCCCTAAGCTTTTCTTGACCAAAAGTTCAAACATTGATGAGCTTGAATATCCACTCACATAAAAAAAAGTGCAAATATATAAGGTTAATGTTAGAGTCAAGAATTGAAATTTCTTTACAGAATTTAGTTATTTATCTTGGTACTTATAAGTGGGTGCATTAAATTTATATAATTACTCAAAAAATTGTTTGAAAAGTAATAAATCGGGCAAGAAAAGAAAATGTCAGCCACCGCATTAGAAATATCTAAATGTATTGGAATGGTTATGATCATTATATGTTTTAATGCAATATATTAAACTTATATGGTCTGGTTTTATTGTGGTTTATTGAATAGTACCTAATGTAATTATGAATTTCAAAGTGGCTATTGTTAGAGGTTATAAACTATTTCAAACTATAATATTCAGGTTCACATTATGTTAAACCAGAGAAATTCGACACAATTTATACTAAGATGTAATTATATGCTTCTCCTTTTGTCCCAGAAAAATTGATCCTTTTTATTTCCCCCATTTAAAAATGTTACAATTAGCTAATGGGAACATATTTTATTCTTATTTGTATAACAGGTCATGAGCTTTCATTTGTGGCATTTCTCTGCTGTTTGTGTAAAATAGGGGCCTTTAGTAATAATGACTACACAGCCCTAGTACTTCGAGTGTTTGAAAGGTAACAGTAAAAAAATTAAAAATTAATAATTAACCTCAGTTTTTCATGTACTATTCATTATTTGTTATTTCCCTTTTTTTAATTGTTAGATGTCCCAGGTAAACAATCTGTTCACGTTTGTTTTTTTGAAAGTTCAAAAACTTAATTTTTCAACCTGAGATAATCAACGCTGCTCCATTTCTTGTGACTATCATTTGTGATTTATAATAGAGCTGTTATTAAATATGATTATTTGTTTAATTACTAACATTTGATTTTATTTTCCTGTTGTGGAATGTTGTTTAATGTACGGGTCATAAAGGAAATTAAAACTCTATAATTTTTTTTTAAACAAAGAGAAAGAAAACAACCAAATGAATTAAAGTAATTTTATTTAGAGATTTTTGGTTGTATAAGCCATAAAATACTTTTGCACGTAGAGTTCATCATCATTCCCATGAATCGGTGTAAGAGAACCAACATGATAAAGCTATCAAGTCTTTAAAGCAGCCTGTGGTTTGCACTAAAATATAATTTTTTGTATGCATTTTAAAATTTTCAATGTCAGAAAAATATGAGACATTGCTAAGGATGGTTTGTGATTTTCTTGAAATTAAATGCTGCATATTCGATCTGCATTTTTTTTTTCTTTCATGTCCCTCTTTCAATCCTCAGATACATGAATCTCGTGCGAAAGTTGCAGCTGACCTACAGGATGGAACCAGCTGGAAGTCATGGTGTTTGGAGCCTGGATGACTATCAGTTCCTTCCTTTTCTCTTGGGGAGTTCACAACTTTTGGGTAACCGCAATATTCCATATACATGCATGGATAGTGAACAATAATTGTTACAATTTTTATTCCAGGTGGGGGGGGGGGGGCGACGACTTTGAACGTTTGTATTGCTAGGAATTGATCATCACTCAGCAGAGAAACCTACTGTGGGACAGACACAAAGAATTTGGCAGTGAAAATGACTTGATTAATGATTTAAACTATCCAAACTTTTCCATTATGTGATCTAAACAGTTTTGCACACTACAGATAATTCACAAAACACATGTTTTCAAAGGCTATTTTCACATGTCCAAGAAATATAGCTCCATTATTTCATTTTTGAATGTTTTTTTTTTATGAAACATATTTTATGAAAATGTAAATTGCACCTATCAACCATGTCCTGCGTCCAATATGTGCAGAAGAAGTCTTTTCATGGCCCACACAAATATTCATTGAGTTCAAAGAACCACAACTAGCCTCTTCAGGTGCACTAAGAAGTAAAATATCATGGTTTTATCATGAACTACCTAAAAGGTTCCCTTTATTTTTTTTTCAACTACATCTAGATCACCCAAGAATTAAACCCAAGTCTTTCCCCAATGAGGATATCTACAATGGATTCTTCAAAGAATTTATATTCCTTAGTGCTATCAAATTCATCAACCAGGTCAGTTGCTGAATGTTGTGTATGATTGTGTCATTTTTTTTTTTTTTTCATTTTCACCACAAAATTTTGAACCCCCCCCCCCCCCCCCCCCCTTATAAAATTCTGGCCCGCATTGCAAGCAAAAATGGAAAGGATTTGAGTAAATTCAGTGTTTTTTTTAAAATAAATTTCTTTTATTTTTATCATTTTCAAGAGTTACATTACTAATTATTAAGGGAATAACTAAAAGAAACACCGGGCTGGTCACCATTGGAAGAACGACGATGACTATCCAGGCTCTCCATGTTGTACAGATCAAAAATGGGATGATTCACTGCTCCAGCATTAAACAGAAACTGGTCCATCTCCCTCCTAGACAGTGACGAGGCCATGACAGGCAGTTCCGGCTAATAAAAACAAGAACTTGGTACAGGAGCTGCTCATTCCTGCCAAAGACAATAGGGGGACTGGAACAAGCTTTCAAAAACATCAGTTGAGGCGACTACATTTGACACATTTGCGTCTGTTGCCTCCCGTCTTCCAACCCCAAGTTCATAATACCACTGCTGTGTAGCCCTTGCAACCAGTGAAGTATCCCCTTTAAAACCTTGCAGAGTAACATCGCAAATCCCTCTGAAACATAGGAGTAGGAGCCAGAATGATCCATTTATTGATCGTGGTTCCTCAAAATATATAAGAACAAGAAGAAAAAAGGAATCCAAGTATTTACCTTTAAAGCATTAGTTATATAGCCTGTCAAATGTGACGTTAGAATAAAAAATGCTAGAAAGTTATAAACTAAAATAATATGAGATGATTTTAGGGGATGTGAATTTAGTAATGGTTTTTCATTTATGTTTTAAAAGACAGTTACTTTAGTTGGACATTTAGTGCATATCTAAAATTATATTTTTGATTCTCACATGTAGCAGATATATTGCTCATAAAATTTGTGTAGAGTTCTTTTCTGTCTCAAAGTGTAAGCCTTAAAACTTTGTAGCATTCTATGCCTCCAGTCAAATTTTCCTTTTTGTGCAAAAAATAATTAATTGTACCTCACTCTCCTTATAGTGCTCTTGCGATAATTTTAACTTGTTAAGAGTATGTGATGATATGAGGACTAGACCAGAGGCTGATATTGCTGTATGCAATTTTCAAAATGTCCTTTCACTTATCAACCAGTTGAAGTAGAGTTAATCATTTACATTTATTTATTTATTTTTTTTAATGTTAAAGGTGAAGACAGGTCCCTTTGCGGAGCACTCCAATCAACTGTGGGGTATCAGTGGTGTGGCCACATGGTCAAAAGTTAATTCAGGCCTCATTAAAATGTACAGAGCCGAGGTAAGACTTTGGTTTGTCACCAGATTAAATCCCTCAGCTCTTCACAGAATGTGTTCAAGTGAGGGCTTTAACAATGCATCTCTGACATGCTTGTTTCCATTTCAGTGAGTTAAAAAATTATAACCTTTTCAATGGTCGTCACTAGAAGATCCTGAGCTGCTCTCAGCTGTTCTCTGAACCACGTCCTGCATCCAATATGTACAGAAGAGTTCTGATTCACTAACAGGATAATGGTTTATTTATAGACTATTACATTTGATGTTTGTCATAATCATAATGTCATTTACAATTAGATTATATGTGAGTTTTATGTCACTTTACTTAAGTAATCTATTTTACAGGTTTTGGCCAAGTTTCCAATAGTGCAACACTTCCTGTTCGGCAGTCTTCTTACCCTTGATCCTGCGCCCAACCCCCCGCCCGAACTAGAGATCATGCCCTTACCCACCACAACCGGTCGACCTCTGATGGCTGATTCAGTGATGCCCCCACCAATGTCGGCTCCGTGGGCACGCTTTGGTGTGAACATGCCTCCATCTGGTGTGGCCATGTCACCTCCGCCGTCTGCCTCTATGCATCGGCCCAGGCCACCGTTTCAATAGTGCTGCCATGAACCGAAGGATTCACTTAACAGGGGGGGTGCATTAAGATGGTCAGCATTAACTGTGTTGTACCCTTCTGTCAGAAGTAGGAGATGGCATTTGATTGTTATACCCTTCTGTCAGAAGTAGGAGATGGCATTTGATTGTTGTACCCTTCTGTCAGAAATAGGAGATGGCATTTGATTGTTGTACCCTTCTGTCAGAAATAGGATGTGGCATTTGAATGTTGTACCCTTCTGTCAGAAGTAGGAGATGGCATTTTAATGTTATACCCTTCTGTCAGAAGTAGGAGATGGCATTTGATTGTTATACCCTTCTGTCAGAAGATGGTATTTGATTGTTATACCCTTCTGTCAGAAGTAGGAGACACCCAGTCTTGTTACCGGTATTTATTTCATTAAACACTAATAATAATCAGCCTGGTTCTTTGCCATCACATTCCTTTCACCTCACATTAGGAATGTGTCCACAGGCGCATCGCCAGTACCCGTTTGAATAGCTGACACTGTTACAGGAGAAACAGCTTAGCATAATAATTTGTTTGAAACTTGAACACACCAGATGTATAGAGGGCAGTCCAAGAAATATTTTTTTTTTTTTTTAAACTCAACAACACAAATGAAAATGAAGGAATTTCATTTTTAGAAAGATTAAAACCCACCAAATGAGACTTGATATTTATAAAAGTATTCAACTTTAAATTAAATTTTAAAATCTTCTTATCCAAAAATAACTGTACCATACCAGGATGTGTGGAACTAAAGATTTTCTGAAATGTTAATTCATCACAACTTCTAATAAGTTCTAGACACATTCTCTGAAAGCAGGCTACATTTTCTTTTTCTTTAACAAATAAGTTTTTTATATTCCCTCCTGTTTTAGATTAGCTCATACAGTTAAACTGATGGCTTCCTTCATTTGTTAAAAATCACATTAAAAGTCATCAGCAGTGTTGTCAAATCGCTGCTTGTTGTTCAGTCCTCTCCATTGATTGGTTTTGTGGAAAGGTTCAAATCGTTAAGTTAATAAAATGTCCTACATATTTAGATACGAGAAATGTTTTTATTTATTTATGTGCATATTATATATATGTATATTTATATATATATAACTATATATTTATATATATATATATATTTATATATATTTATATATATATATATTTATATATATATATTTATATATATATATATTTATATATATATATATTAGAGATATATTTTTATATATATATGTATATATTATATATATATATATATATATATATATATATATATATATATATATATATATATATATATATATATTTATATATATATATATATATATATATATATATATATATATATATATTTATATATATATATATTTATATATATATATATTTATATATATATTTATATATATATATATTTATATATAATTTAGATATATATTTAGATATATATATTATATATATATATATACACATACATACATATACAGTGGAGCTCCGCTATAATGCGATGATAGGGGTCCATAAAATCGGATCGCATTTAAAGCGGGGTTGCGTTAATTCGCGGTTTTACAATATTTAACTTTTTTCCGGAAATCCTTCACGTATTACTATTTATAGTTCTACCGGAAGAGAGCCTCGTTTTCGGCATTAATTTTTACACTAGTTTGAACGTGGTGCGTTTAGGGGCTCATTCTCTACGATATTTTGAAAAGTTGTGATTTTTTTTTCGCTTTAAAAAATGGCTTTCCAAGCAATGGATAAAGTTTTCAAAGAACTTAGGCCTGATGGAGTAAATGAATTTCAAATTTCGGGAGCCTTGCTACCACCGCAGTATATCCTAATTCGCGTTATGGCCTGGCGCGTTATAGTGGGGTTCCACTGTATATTTATATATATATATACACACACACACTTGAACTTTCAAGAAATGACAAAAATTATAAATACTATAAATACAACAGTGAAGAAAAATGTAATCAAGGCCATTTTTTTAAAATCTAAAATGAGGAAACAATTTTTTAATTTGTTAATTTTGGTTTTGACTGTCAACTGTGTGACTTAAAAAATACTGATAATGATGGTACTGGGAACTTGTCAAATTTTAACCTTAGTTCATAAAATCGGAAAGCTTTGAGTAAAAACTTTTTTTATTACTTGCTCTAACTCTAAGTATAAAGTATAAACAAAAATAAACTGGAAATGACATGAGGCTAAAAAATGTGCAAGTCTTATTTCCAACATAATGTAATTAGAAGATATGTATGCTATGCATCTCTGTGAGTGTATTAAAAACCAGGATTATTCAACATGTTTCAAACTCAATATGCATATGATTTTTTAAGAATAAATTTTTTTTTAAAAACTCTCTTGAATTTGAATTCATTTTTTTTTTTTTTTTAGATGCCATACTGTCACTTTGCTAAGAGGAGGGGGGGTTGCGTAGTAAAGTAGAAATTTAGGGCGCCAACCACTTCTTAGCGAAAGTGGGAAAAAACAAGATTAATCAAAATGTTTCAAACTCAATATGCATATGATTTTTTAAGAATAAATTTTTTTTTAAAAACTCTCTTTAATTTGAATTCATTTTTTTTTTTTTTTTAGATGCCATACTGTCACTTTGCTAAGAGGAGGGGGGGTTGCGTAGTAAAGTAGAAATTTAGGGCGCCAACCACTTCTTAGCGAAAGTGGGACACACTAAGCCCCCTAAATAGATATAAAAAATATATTTCACATTACTATAACTTTTTAAAGAAAAGCTACAAGTTAAGAAATTGAATGTTACTAAACTCTTATGATTTATAAAAGATGTTTTTTTCCAAAACCCTAGATTAAAAATAATAAAAATCGACCTTAAAAACAGTTAAAAGGAGACAAAAGGTTTTCTTAAACTTTTTTAAAAATTTAAGGGAACTTGTTTGAAAATCATGAAAACGGTTATTTCCTCTTTGACACCAAATAAATGTATGCTTGCAAATTGGTAGAGCGTAGCCGAAATTTATTTATTCTGACTAGCTTTAAAATACCCCGTCAAACAATGGTGGCCGCCATGCCTTTAACTTCCCATCAACTGCAGTGACTTGACAAAACATGTATTCAGGAAAGGCACTTCTATGAGATTCCCAATAAGTGCTACCCCGATACGCCACCGCCTCCGAATTATATTAATATTCTATTAAATTCTAATGCCCCAAACCCTTTTACACCGCAGATTTACGACAAACTAGCGATTACCCTGAATGTGTTGCAATGCCACACAAAGAAAGAAGGTGTTTGTGTTTGAATTATGTTTTTTTAAACAGTTTTAAAAGAGGCAATATATTTTTTTTCTGTCTGGTGCGTACACAAATAAACTAGGTTTTTCGTCAAGTCAGCTGGCCGCAAACAGCTGTCCAAGTCCAAGTGAGAAGCATGGATTTTTTTTAAATTTAGTCCACACACTTGTAGCGATTGGCCCACCCACGCAATAGCTGTGTTTGAAATGATATGTATTATTGTATGTAGCTCATAATACTCATAACAGAATAGAAAACCTTTGCGAGGGTGGGCACAACAACTCACCAACGTTTTATCGAAATCGGATAAATGGTATAGAACGCATACAGAGAGCTCATTTAAGGGGGAAAAAACGAAATTAGGGCCCCCGGCCCAAAACGAAGTGGCTATAGGGACCAAAATGGTTGAACTTATTCTGAAACCTACTTATTATGTCACACACAAACTGTTTGAAATGTATTCAGTATTCAATGCCATCCCTCATGTAATATTCATACTGCTCATATATTTTTTTTTTTTTAAAAACGAATTTAGGGCCCCCTACCCAAACGAAACAATTTACAATGATTTGATTAAATTTCCGCCCACACATGCATTATAAACTCCGTTTGAAATTTTATTTATATTGCTCATATTAGAACAAATGAATTTAGGGCCCGCGGCCAAAACCGGAATATTGTAAATGGTTGTACGGTACATGTTTAGAAACCTTTGGGGGCGTGCGGACAACAACTCACCAAAGTTTTATGGCAGTAGCAGTACGATGAATGGCATTGCAACGCATACAGAAATTGTATTTACACATATTATTTATGCGATCCTCCAGCATTCATGCGATTGCGCTAAAACGTTGGTGAGTTGTTGTCCACAAGCCCGCGCATTATTCGGAATCATTAAAACCCTTTTAAAATAATCCGTTTTTGGCCGTTGGCCAGGGGTGGACTGGGCCGCCGGGACACCGGGAAGATTTCCGATGGGCCGCTAGGACCGGTGATATAATAAAAATAAAAGTCATGAAGATAGGGCCGATTTTTGTTTTTTTCCCGGGCCGCTTTGATTTTTTTCCCGGGCCGCTTGAACTCCCCAGTCCACCCCTGCCGTTGGCCCTAAATTCGTTTTTTTTTTTCCTAACATCAGCATTGTAAAAAATAATGTCCTTATGCTCTACAATACCATTTATCAGAATGCGATAAAACTTTGGTGAGATGTTGTGCGCACGCCCGCAAAGTTTTATTTTTATTTTAGAATATTCCGTGTTGAGCCAGGGGCCAAAGGTTTTTTTTTATTTTAGAATATTCCGTGTTGAGCCAGGGGCCCTATGTTCGTTTGTTCTTGTATGAGATATATAAGTACAATTTTAAACCGTATGCGTTCCTATACCATTCATGCGTTTGCGATGAAACTTTATTTTTTCTTATATGAGCTATGTACATATAATTTCCGTATGCGCTACTATACCATTTATCCGATTGCATAAAAACTTTGGTGAGTTGTTGAGATCACGCCCGGAAAGGTTTCTGAATTATTAAAACCATTAAAAATATTCCATTTTGAGCCAGGGGCCTTAATTCGTTTTTTTTTTTTTTTTTTTAAATATGAGCTCTATAAATATAATTTCAAACAGAGCTAATGCAAGAGTGGATATAATTTTAATCAAATACAAAATGTGACATTGAACTTTTGTGTGTGACATAATAATTAGGTTTCTGAAGTAATACAACCATTCTGCAATATTCCGTTTGTGGCCGGGGGCCCATAAATTCGTTTCCCCCCATTATATAAGCTGTATGAATATAATCACCGTATGCCTTCCTATACCATTCATCCGATTACGATAAAACCTTGGTGAATTATGCGCCCGCCCGGCAACGGTTTCTAAATGAGTACAGCCG